AACTCCATGCAAAGTATGGAGTTGCCAAACATCCCAATTTTGATCACATAATGAGGATGCTGCAACAGTCATGTAAAAAAGGGTCCTAAATCATTTTTTTCAGTGCTGTTAAAATTTCAGATGGTCACTAAACAAAAGGTTGTAAATTGCGGACTACCTATACAAGCCTGTTTAGTGCCTATAATCAAGATTCAAATCTGTTACTGCATACTCCTTCCAGCTACCACCTTTATTCCCCATGTGCAAATTGACAAACAAATTATACTTTCCACTCACAACCTCTCAATACAAATTGTTGGGCACATATCTTTTCCTAGGACTCAATATTCTACTTTATATCTTAATACAGTTTCAAATGCTTTCACAAATTCTCACCAAATATTTTCTCACTTGTTGACCCATGTTTATAGCAATATAATCTATTTTAATATAGATTCACAATATTTTTTCATTATCCTGACCCAAAGCATTTTATTGGAAAGCTTAATTGAAATAAATCATACAATAACTCACAATCCCTCTGTGATGAAAGCATTATAAATTGTAAGTATTTTACATGGTTAATCAAAGTTAATAGAAAAAGTGTTTTGATGACTTTGCAGTTCTCAACATGCTACTTTATTACCTACATCCTATCTATAATTTATACACCTACACCGCTCATATTCTTTATTATGCATTGCTTTATATAAATCTTCCTTATCTCTGGAAACAATGACTTTTTAAAACTGTTATATTCATCTTTATTCAGACCACACATCTCTGATTATCTGATTTCTGATTAGCATCACCATCAAGCAAAGTTATGAAAGACAAAAATTAGTCCATCCTCATCTAATAGAGAGATGCTATACGTTATGGGAACAGAAGTCTGCAAAATTATATAGCTAGTCCTCACTAGTACTTATCTTGTGTGCACGTATTTGTGTGCACATGCATACACTCAGCACAAAAAGATATATACAGCATACCTCAGACCCTAAAATACCTTCCATTCCCTGCTTCTATCACACTTTCTAAGACAGTAATTCCTTGCTTGAATAAGTCATTTATGACAAAAAAATAAAAATGCTTGCAGGCACTAAGATTATGCCCTTGGAAATAGGAACTATAAAGCAAATATAAAGCAATACAACCAAAGTTAATGTAACAATGGAATTAACCTGTTAACTCAATTTTCTGCACTGACTCAATTTTCTACATTGGTGCACTTTACGGCCAACACATTAAGCTAAAATTTGTGGTTGAGTGCATCTTGCCAAGGCAATCTAATAAGGCTGTTTCCCACCTTCCAGTCGCCAATCTGCACCCCCACCGAGGTTATAAAAGAGGGAAAAGGGCTATACAAAAAGTCCAGCTCAGAGAACAAGGACTAAACCTCTGGTGGTAACCAAGAGCGGCGTAGATGCGCTTGAGCGAAAACTGCTTCGGAGCCTCTTCCCTTCGATTAACCCGCAGAAGGCCGGTTCCGTGTCAGCGAATACACACGTCCTCAGTGTCCCTTTAAAGACCAACAGGGAGCGAGGGCAGAAATTCCGGTCCGACACGAAGCTACGCCAGGGCAGAGGGCTGAAACCCGAGCGCAAACTCCCAACCCCCAGCGAATCACCGGGCGCCCCCACCCATCCGCCGCCGCCTCGTAGACACGTCCTCCCTCCCGTCCAGCCGGACCCCGAGGCCACCACGCCGAAGGCCCTCGCGGCTAGAGAAACAGCAGCAGTTACTGCTGAGGGAGAAGCGCCCCGCCGTGGTAACCGAGCCCGCCCTGCTTCTCTCCCTTCTTTCCCCGTTGCGCACCCGTGTTATACACATGCAACTCATCGGCGATGCCTTCGTTGCCGCCCCCAAAGATGATGACCAGCTCGCGGATCGCCACGGCGCGATGGCCATGCCGGGATCGGGGGACCGGCCCCGTGAAGGAAGAAACGCGCCTCCAATTCAGGGCAGCGGCGCTTGCCGCCATTTTATACGCCCACGCCCACAATGCACCGCGGCGGGGGCCGAAGCAGCTGCTGGGGGGGGGGGGTTTGCCGAGGAAGCCAAACAGAGCATGGCCGGCATGGAGGAAGTACGTGGAATTGGGCTGCAGCAGCCATAATAATAATCAAGAGAGGAATATTTCAAGGAGGTTCATTGTCACCATTACTATTTGTTATTGCACTGTTTCCTCTGTCAACAATACTGAAGAACTCAGGACATGGCTATCAAACATCAAAAACATCTACCAGACTATCCCATCTCCTTTACATGGATGATCTGAAGCTGTATGGAAAAACCTCATCTGAAATAGAATCGCTGCTCAACACTGTCCGTATATATAGCCAAGATATTGTAATGGAGTTTGGCTTGGACAAATGTGCCACACTTACTATCAAACAAGGAAAAATAATGAAAACTGAAGGAATCAAGATGCCCCACGAAAATAACATTAAGAGTCTGGATGAGGAAGAGTACTCCAAATACTTGGGTATCCTTCAAGCTGACAACATCAAGCACACTGAAGTCAAGAAAAAGATTAGAGGTGAATACATCAAGAGAGTGAAGAAGATCTTAAAGTCCAAACTCAATGGAGGAAATACCATAAAGGCAATCAACACCTGTGCAATTCCAGTCATTAGGTACACAGCTGGAATAGTGGACTGGACTCAAGCAGAACTGAAAGCAATGGATAGGAAGACCAGAAAAATAATGACAATGAATCATGCCCTTCATCCACGCAGTGACATTGACAGACTTTATCTACCAAGGCAAATAGGTGGGCGTGGAATGCTACAAGTACATCAGATGGTTGAAGAAATAAAAATGGCTTTGGAAGAATATCTGAAGAACAATGATGAAGATGCACTGAAATTAGTATATCACGAAGGCTTACTGACTACTGGAGAGACCAAAGTGGCCTACAAGAAAGACCAAATGAAGAACAGAATAGAGGCATGGGAAGACAAAACACTACATGGCCAATACATTAAAAAAAATAGCTGGGAAAGCAGATAATAACAAGACCTGGCAATGGCTAAGAGCAGGAAAATTGAAGAACAGACTGAGGGACTAATTCTGGCTGCACAAGACCAAGCCTTAAGGACAAATGCATATAAAGTCAAAATTGAGAAGACAGCAACAGACAGTAAGTGCCGCCTATGCAAAGAAGCTGAAGAAACAGTGGACCACCTGGTAAGCTGTTGCAAGAAGATTGCACAGACTGACTACAAGCAGTGGCATGACAAAGTAGCAACAATGGTGCTTTGGAAGATCTGCAAAAAATATCATTTGCCTGTAAGCAAAAACTGGTGGGATCATAAAATAGAGAAAGTCATAGAAAATGATAAAATTAAAATGCTCTGGGACTTCAGAATTCAAACAGACAAGCACCTGCAACATACCACCCCAGACTTAACAATTGTCGATAAGAAAGACAAAAAAGTCTGGATAGTGGACGTGGCAATGCCTGGAGACAGCAGAATAGAAGAGAAAGAACTGGAGAAGATAACAAAATACAAAGACCTACAAATAGAAATAGAAAGACTGTGGCAAAAGCAAGGAAGGGTAGTACCAATAGTAATAGGCTCCTTGGGTGCAAACCCAAAACAACTGGAGCACCACTTGAACACCATTGGCATTGACAAATTCGCTATTAGTCCATTGCAAAAGGCGGCCTTATTAGGAACTGCTTCCATCCTGCGATGATACCTGTAATACCATCAAACATCCACATCTGCCTATCCCAGGTCCTGGGTAAGCACTCGATAGGTAGACAAAATGCCAAATCCAGTCTGAACATCTGGCTGACTGTGCAATGATCCATAATAATAATAATAATAATAATAATAATAATAATAATACGGCCAACCACAATAATAGTAATCTAGCATCTCGCATCCTGCAACGATATCTTTAATGCCATCAAACGATATCTGCCTAAACCCAGGTCTTTGGGAAGGACTCGATCGGTGGATAAAAATGCCAAACAATCTAAATGCCTGGCTGACAGCGATCAACCATAATCATAATATTACTAAATGGCCATACTTCTCTAGCTTTATTAATATGCTTCTCACTACAGCTAAGCAGAAAATGAATGCTAAATTCTACATTTTTTTGAGATGTTATCTGAGAGTAAAATGTTGGGTCATGGTACGGGTAGATTATTTTGCAACGGTTGTACCCTAAGGGTACTGTGTTAAATTACTGAACCTTGAGTACTTGCACAATTGCCATTCATTGCTTTTATTGGAACAAAATGTTATTTGTTTAAAACTAATCTACCTGGAAATGTAAAAAACCATTCGGATTCAAGATTAGGGCATTATTTGTGGCAGGGCTTTGCTTTAGCCTCTCTGAAGAGGGAAGCCCATCATTAAAACATCTTCCTCCTCCTCATGCTAATAATTGTTGGAAAGGCTCATAATGTAGTTTCCTTATTACTCCATAAATCCAGATGTACATGGAGATATGAAGTCTGGGTTGCAAAAACCCAGACAATCACCAGAAGGCAACATTTTTTCAGTAGCTATACAATAGATGTTGCAGCAAGATGTTTCCAGGGTGATTGAGCTGGAAACACCAAAGCAAGTATGCCTAATTCATCTGGTCTGGACTCTAAAATCTGTATGTTTTGCCTTTACCTTAGCATCTGTCGAGCACAGCAGTATCAGGTGTAGTGCAGACTTGGAGGTAGCTTAGGTGAGCTGGCAGAAAGTTGTACTTTGAGGGAGACCCACAGCTCTGGTTTGTCTAAAAAGTGTTCAAAATGCCAGCACACATATATGCCTGAGCACCTATCCGGCCATTATTATATGCCATTAGCTAAAGACTAGATTGCTTTTTGGAAGTGCAAAATTGTGTTTTTAATACATGCATCTGCACATTACCGTACAGTGTGAACATTGTTCTATATATTTTGTAGAGCAGCAGCCCTCAACCTTTCTGGCACCAGGGAACTGATTTTTGGAAGAAAAATGGTCTTCCATAGACGGGGTGGTGGGGGTGGGGGTTTGATTCACAACCTAGATCCCACAAATGTAGATGAAGCTTGCATGGCCCAGTTCTTAACAGGCCACAGATTGATACTGGTCCATGGCCCGGGAGTTGGAACCCCTAATTTAGGGAACATACGCTAAACATTGGGCTTATTAACAAACTGCAAGGCCATTGTTGCTGTCCATATAGCAGCCAGATTGACTGAACCAATATTTATGTACAGTATTCATTTGAAATGATACAGCTTCCCATTAAACATCTTCAAACAATTATTTAAATTTATTAACATATTTTAATCTTGCATTTCTAGTTTATTAACATATTTTAATCTTTCTAAATTAATGGACCTATCACAGTGGTCCATAGTCTAAAATCAGATACTTTGTTAATTGTTAAAACCACAACAGAAGCACAAGAGAAGCAATAAATATCTTGAGCTGAGCTCAGAAATAAAGAGAATCATTAAAGAGTATTTTTTTTTAAAGAAAAGGTTTTCCTATCCCTTTCTTCACATGTAATTTTTGTACTTTTCTTCAAGGTAATTCTGTGTATAGTATATCATAGTGCAACCGATCTGGACATGACAGAGCTACACAAAATTTGTCTTTGTACAATATCAGATATTTGAATTAATAGAATGAGTTCAGATCAGAATGATAAGGAGAATTGTGCAAATATATGGATAAGAAAATCCTGTTCAGCATGGTGGTTAGAAAGCTGAGGTACAGTTTTCTCACATAACTTTCCTATCCCTTTTATTTTCTCATGGAAGTCTTGAGAGTTTTCTCTTCTAGGTCTGTTCTATTAGAAAATTATTGGGAATGTTTTAATTTGGATTCATGCAGAAAATAGTCATGAGCTAGACCTCTTGGGCAAAATGGTCCTACTACCTCTATTGTAATTAAATTTCCTCTTGGGCCACACCCTCTTTAACTGTAGTAGGAGAACTGGGTTAGTTTATGATTGTATTAGTCTGCATCAGAAGGAGTTAGGTGACACTTTTTCTAACAAAATGCAGCTTCTGAAAGTATATGCGTAATACAGTTTGTCAGTTGGAAAACATGCTACCAGACTCCTGATTTTTTAGCTCTCTTTCATTAATCAATGCCTTTGTGACACAGCTTTTTCTCTTGCACCAGTTATCAACTTTCATTCAAGATGGGCAGCATGAACAGTTGTTTTTTGGAGCATTTAAAGGCAGTAAGATAGTTGTTTTTGTCATTAGGATTTCTTAAACCTCTTTTTTTAAATGTTATTTTCACAAGGGGATGATCATCTAAGAGACGTGAAGCATCTGCATGGGGGGAAATAAAAAAATCAAAATGGTAGTTGTGATTGTATGTTTAAATCTCTTTTTTAGCTGCATCCTGTGACACGTGTAAAAAGGGGCCTGGACTGACACACCTCCTCCCCCATAGGTGCCCCTGAGAGTTTCCCATTGATGATAGATTGTAGGTCTGCTCTCAGCTAAAATATATTCTGTATGACTTTTCTGCAACTATGTTTTAACATTATAGGGTGAATATTGTATCTTTTAAAAGATACAGAATCTGTAATTACTTTCTTGATGCAAACACAGACTGAGGTTCTTATTTTAGATGAAAGGGGGTTTCTACAGTTACTCATTTTTCATGCTTGTAACTTTATAGATGCTTCTTTGTTCACAATGATCCGAAATATACACAACATTCAAAGAAATCTAATCTTGAGCTCTTCCTAAAATCTTTTTCCCTGCGTCTCTGGAATTTTCTTTCTGATGAAGAATAACTAGGGTGGGAGGAGGAAAGTTCACCCAGTTCTGCAGCTGCCTTATTCACTACATCTGGAAGCAGTTTGCATGTAGCTCTCTCATTTCAACAGGCCCAAGTCTGGATTCTGTACAGTTCTGTAATCACGGAGAAAGGAAGGAAAAAAGTAATTTCCAAATAAAGCACAGAAGATTTTTTTAAAAAACAATTCTGCCTCAAATTAGTTTTGAAGGAACTAAAAAGGACCTTGAAGTGTCTCGCATATGGGATTTCAATGTGAATCCCTCGAGAAAAGGGATTCTTACATGAATGTTTATTACACTGAATCAGCCAGCTACCCACAGCAACTGCTTGCTTGAAGTTATTTTTCTGGAGAAAATAATCCACAATTGCTCTGCTGCTGCCTTGAAAGGTAAAACTTTGAATTCTATTGGAAATGGTGTATTTACAGATTTATTTTTTTTTTACTATTGTAGCTAGAGTTTGTCAGCTTTTTAAAAAAATCCGAGGTATTGAAATGTCAGCAGAGTACTCAGCTGATATGATCTCATTTTTGAAAATGAAAACTCTAGTTTTGTTCTTAAATTCTTTTTGTTAATTAAATAAAAGTGGACATTAGAAATTTCTAGGTATAGATATGATTATTGTCAATTTACAATAATTAACTTTTTTATGGTTGAAAAGCGAAAACGTGTTTTATGTGTACCAGAAATGGAAGAAATTAATTCTTTGTGTGTGGAACGAATGATTAAATTATGAGTATGTTTGCTATATTGAGAACTAGTCCCTAAATGTAAAATCTCTGTGGCTGTCATTTAATATTATTAAATCTAATACTTAATAGATTTATTATTAAATACTATTTACATGTAATAGGTTACAAAACCTAAAAATATGACAAGATCTAACATTATTACTTAGTTGACAATATGGAATTATAAAAGTGTTTAGATTAAAATCACCATTATGATAATGGCCTGCATTTAATTTTCATAGTTCTCATGATTTTCTAGCTAATACTATGGCAAAATAATGTCACATTGTTTATTCTTTCTTTAATTTACAAACTACTCTTCAGTATTATGTTAGGTAGAACGCTGAAATACAAACTTGGGTTATTTTTCCTAAGAAGATTGAGGGCAAAGTTAAAATTTGCTATTTACAGTATTTTTTTTAGTATAAAACTGTGTTTCTCAACCTTAGCAACTTTAAGATACCCACACCGGCTGGAAAATTTTGGGAGTTGAAGCCCACACATCTTAAATTTGTCAAGGTTAAAATACATTGGTATAAGGAACGGTGAGAGACAGCCCTTCATTTATATAGATGTACATTTGCTATAGTAGTTAGCAGACAGAATATATACTCTTGCTTCTTCATTGTTAGTCATTATGAGAAACAAAAGAAAAGAGTAGAAAGTGTTGAATAAATACTGGTGGAATACAATAAGAAAGAAACTGCATCTCTTCAAGCTTTGTTTATACATTTCAGGTTCAAACCTATTGAACTTGCACTTCTAGAGGTCTCAGTAAACACAGATTTGATATTTTTGTTGTGTTTTAACTTTCTGATTTCTTTCTCTTATTTCATCCACAGACTGCAACCAAATGAAAGAGCCATATGGCTTTATTACGAAAAAGTAAGACATCTTCAGGAAAAAAAATAGTGTAATTTAAAGGCCTATGTCCTTTTTTGCTCTCAGGAATTTTTATTTTGCAAACATATAATGGGCATTCTTGTAAAATGACTGTGGGAAGGGAACTTTCCTGTCCATAGGTTTCCATTGAGCCAGTTATAAAATACAGATATACCAAAATGTTGTCTTCTCTAGCACACATACCCCTTCATAAAATGCACAGTCCTACATTTCTGAACCTTTGTAATGTAAAAGAAATGCAATTACAACCAATATGCTGGGGTGCCCAATCTAATACATATAATTGAAACCAGAAACATTTTTGGAAATGAAAATAATGTTTTATGCACTACATTAGCAGTAGCACTTAGACTTATATGCCGCTTCACAGTGCCTTCCAGTCCTTTCTAAGAGGTTTACAGAGTCAGCATATTGCTTTCAACAATCTGGGTCCTCATTTTACTGACCTCAGAAGGATGGAAGGCTGAGTCAACCTTGAGCCGGTGAGGATCGAACTGTTGGTAGTCGGCAGAGTTAGCCTGCAATACTGCATTCTAACCACTGCACTACCAAGGCTAGTGATCCTTAGGTTCCATGCTTAAACTTGATGTTTTCAGAAAAAGTCAATGCTTCCATGCAAAGTGGTAGAAATGAGTAGTTGCAGTTTACATATATGGTTGCTGTAACTGGTAGCTAAACATTAGAAGGGAGAACATAGAGGCATCTGCAGAAAAGAAAGCAAGATAAGTCTAATGTTATATGACAAAGAGCAAAGATCAGATGCCCTTAGATGTTACTCCATTACTATTGTGAAACTTTTGAAGGCACTAGTAATCCACTAGTAAGAAACTTCTGCCTTCTTACAGGTCGTCCTCGATTTATGACCAATTGCTTAATGACTGCAAAGTTATGATGGACCCCTCACCCCAAAGCTATTTATGATCCAGTTTTGAAATTCTGACATGGGGCCATTTTGTAATGGGCCCCATGGTCACATGACAATGGTTTATGTGATATTACCAGAAACTTGTATTTACTGACAAAAACAGGCCCATTGCAAACAATGGGTTTGCTTAATGACTGCCACATTCACTTAATGAACACAGCAAAAGGTTGCAAAACTGGGCCCAGTCCTGAGCTGGTTTACACCTGTCACAACTTACATCCAAAATTAACAGGCTCAATTACATAATTTGTGGGCTATTGTACAGGTGATCAAACCTTAGCATTTAATTTTGGTGTACACCGCTTAGAGAGTGCTTGCACTTAAAGCGGTATATAAGTCTCATAAATAAATAAATAAATAAATTTTGACATTTAGAGGTGTTTTTTAATAGCCCCAAAGGCAACGAGTGACATAGTAGCTTGCCAAATTAGTGTGCTTCTTGTTGCCTTTGGGGCTATTAAAAAACACCCCTAAATGTCAGAATTTCCAAGGCAAAATCATCAGCATGTGAGGATGTCGACAAAGGTAAGGGATGAAACATGTTTATTATTACTCTGAAATATTGTAAAAGAGAATTGCTTGAATAGTCCAGAAAGAAGTTGTTGGAGATTTGAATTCAGTAAAAGCTAAAGAAGTTCCTGAAGTCAAGCAAAGTGCTGGAAGTTTACTAAGTAATTGGGTAACATTGAAAAAGAAGATAAATATTCATAATCTAGTTTCCTTGGCTGCAGAGAATAGCTGTAACTATAATGAACACTAATAAACATTACATAATACCTAATGAATTCATTATGAATACTAATACATATTACATAACACATAAATTATTACAAAGTAGTTGAAGTAAAGGTAAATTTACTAGGACATACAAACATAGAAATGCCTCATTTATATCTAAACTACATTTTACAGAGAGAAAAGACAAGAGTGAAACAAGTTAAATGAGTGTCTTTAAACAGAGACCAACTTAACTAACAATAGGCCATATGAGAGAAAAACACAAAGACAGAATGTGAAGACCCTTCTCCTTATCCATCTCTCACATTGTTCCTTGTTGTCATATAGGTACAAAGCTACATAGATACAATTGTTGAACAGAAGCACTTTCTCATTCACTTGCCTTTGATGTCTGGCAACTGCTTTTCTGATATTATTTAAAATTCTGTATGGAAGTAAAACTGTTTGTAAGCCATAGGTACCCTGCTTCCAATGGGATTATTTAGAATTTTAATTCAACACATTGGACAAGGTGGCATTTTAAATTGTGATAAGAGAAGATGATTTAGTATATACACATACACACACTTATCCTTTCCCTGTTTATAGTAGTGTCCTTTAGAAAAATATTTTCTGCTAAAACATAATGCAGGAATTCAAAAAATGTATATATTAAGACTTGACGTGTAGCCAATTTAGTATTTTTTTAACTGAGTTCTATAAATAATTTCAGTGGAATTAATGGGATTTCTGAATCAGATTTAAATTGTCCTCATCCTTAAAATTCCATGATAAAATTACAATCATATGATGACTGTATGATGGTAAACTGTGTAAAGAGCTCTCCCTTTCGGTGTCATCAATGCTTTCATTTAATCTCATGATACTTATCGGTATATATGAATAGAAATAGTTTCGTAGGAAAACGTTTAAGTTTGTAACATGTAGAGATTTATCTTCAAGTGAGTTAGAGATTAATTGAAATATAATACAGTATTAGCAGCCAAGTGTACATAATAAATCATGCAGCTAAGATAAGTTAAAATCCAATTGCATTTATTAGTCATGGGGCATACTAATGAAAATATTTGTGCTGCAAATTATGTATATGTAATTGATTGAACAGCTTTCTTTATGTTTCAGTTAATCAGATCCTACTATTCCTTCTTGTTTTGACTCTCTGTGTTATTCTGTATAATAAAGTTCAAAAGATGCCATCTGCTATCCTGAATAATGAATCGAGTAAGCATCTATTTTTATTTTTTATATTACTGAGATCACATATGCTTTGTTGGTAGCATTATAACTCATATTAAAATTACCTTTCAAACTAGAACAGAAAAAGCTTCATAATTAGAACTGCTTTAGCTTTCTTTTAGTAATGCCTCTGAACATTTTGTACATCTTGATGGCCACTGACTCTGCAGACTGAGAATTATGGCACATGTAGTGCTTACAACTGGTTGAGAAAGGCTTGTATCATAAATGCTGCATGTAAAAAAACTCTTGAGGTGGGGTAGCCATAACAGAAGGAATATGGAATTAGGAACAGATAAGTGACCTTGCATAAGAAATACAGGGCCATTTAATGTAATTAACGAGGCTTAGAAGTATATTAACTTTCAACCCTACTCTCCCAAGTTCTCATCTCTTTCAGAGGCTTTTGTAAAATGCTTATTGCTTAATACAGCAGAAATAAATAAATCACAATATATATGATAATTCATGTTTCTTCTCACTGCTGTTACTTACTCCCACTATTAGTTGATTTGGAGAGCATGGAAGAGATAGAAGAAGAAATTCCAGTCGTGCTATGTGCTGCTGCAGGCAGAATGGGTGCAACAATAGCTGCAATCAACAGCATTTATACCAACACGGATTCAAATGTCCTCTTCTACATAGTTGGACTAAAGAGCGGCATTCCACATATCAGGTGAAATCACACAGTGCTGTAATATAAGTGAGTGACAGTGTAATCCTTTATTCAGGGAAGTCCATGACCCTGAATAAATGCCACACATTGATTTATTTATTTGCAATAAACAGAATGCACTGGACAATCTATCAGCCCATTAATTACAATATTTTTCAATCTTGGCAACTTTAAGATGTGTGGACTTCAGCTCCCAGAATTCCCCAGCTAGAAGTTCCCCAGCCAACATCTGGGAGTTGAAGTGCCCATATTTTAAAGTTGCCATGGTTGAGAAACATGGTAATGGGTAATAATACCAGTAAGTCAACATAAAACCAAACAGAAAAATTATTAAGGTAAAAAGTATAATAATGCCAGGAATTGATCTGCTGTGATGAACTAGTGTCAGAATAGTTATACTTGGGCAGAAGTGTAGGTCTAGCACAGGTGGGCCAGTGGAGGACATGGACTGATTAGGTCAGTGGTTCTCAACCTGTGGGTCGGGACCCCATTTGGGGTCGAACGACCATTTCACGGGGGTCGCCAAACAACGCAGTCCGCCATTTTTTCCCCTTTTCCTTAGCTGTGCTACTCCCTTTTATTCTATTGGCTTTTGAAAGCCAATAGAATAGACTCTCTTGAATAGAGTCTAATTCTATTGGCTTTCAAAGCCAATAGGAATTGTCCAGGCTGTCTCTGCCCTGCTGAGCCCGCCAAAAGTCCCATTCTGCAAATGGTGCTGCACCAGTTGAGTAGTCCTTGAGTTATGACTGGTTGAGTAGTCCTTGACTTATGACCGGTTGGGGGTCGCAGCATTAAAAAGGTTGAGAACCACTGGATTAGGTGGAAGAGGATAGTGAAGGACTCTTTTAAAGAGTGTTTCCAGACAGAGGATACCTAGAGTAGTTCACTTAACAGTATTACAACATGCAGTTCTATCTTTCCTTTATATATTATTTTTCTATCTTTCCTTTATATATTATTTTCCATTTGGGAACAAATGGACATTATAAAAAGCGTTATCTGGAAACATCCAAAGGGTGCTTTTAGTAAGGCTTTGTTGTGCAATTATTTTATATTTACTGAATTTTCACCAATTGTGACTTTAATTTGTAACCATCCCTGTAATGTTAGCTATCTGGAAGTCACCAGAGCCTTGTATTGAATGATTGGAATTTTCACCTGGCAAAAATTCTTCCCTTTGCTCTTTCTTTTCAAATTTGTTTTTTGGTACAGCTTTGAAGCTACAATTCCCTTGTATCATGAATCAATGTTTGAGACTATTGGATTCTAAGGCTTTAAGACACTAGTTAACCTAAATACTAGAATTACTGATACTAAACACTAAAATTACCAATTAAGGCCACTAAATACAATAATTTAAACTAAATAAAAGTAACTTAAATTAAAAGTTAAGAGCTCACTAAAAAGCTGTTCCTCTCTGTAACCATCCCACTTCTGTCTTTTGTCTCTCTTTACAGTACTGTAAACATCAGTTTGGGAGGGGAAAACTGAACAGCTGCACTGTTATTTGATCCCTAGCTCAAGGCCTCATCCACCTGGAAGCCTTCTTTTTAGCTGAAAGAATATGAAGTTGTTGGATCATTACCATATCTCAGATGCTAATGTGTATAATTACACAATTCAGAATGATTTCTAAAACTTAGTGCACAAATAAACAATTACAGCAAGTGCAGAATACCTAAAGGATGTTACTATATGGTCAATTTAAATTGCATATGGAAAGTTTATCTTGTGGAAAGTTTATCTTAGAAAACTGAAAAGTTAAGAAATCTCAGATGATTAACGAATGTTACATAAAGTCAGAAAAATCTGCCATTTTATAGTGTTAATAATAATAACAATGTTACAATACAAAGTTACAAGGTTTATGAAATGAAAGAATAATAACACTATATTTATTGCTTTAGAAATCTAACATGCTTCTATTTGTTCTGCATTTCAGACAGTGGATTGAAAACTCCAGACTGAAAGATATCAAGTTTAAAATTGTGGAATTCAATCCTATGGTGCTTAAAGGGAAAATCAGACCAGACGCAACCCGTCCTGAATTACTTCAGCCTGTGAGTATGCAAAACTTCCTTTATAAGATAAACATATGAAAGGAAAGTGCATAATTTGAAGTTCCAGAACTGCTTATGCTAATCCAAAATCTTGTATGTAGTCCCAGAGATTTTTAACAGTTCATATTAAAATATAATTTTAAATGTGCTAATAAGGAAAAATTGTAGATTTTAAAAACATGCTACAAACCTTAGTTCTAGCAGTGTATTCTTCAACAGTTTTACTACAGACTGGGATGAGGAGGAGGAAATGCCAATCAAATTTGCTGATGAAGCAAAATTGAGTGGGAGAGCTAATAGGATTAGGCTGGTACTTCATATTTAAGATAAAAAATGTATGTGAGTGAATAGAACACCTAATTGCAACTATTTAAAGCAACTGTGCCTTTTTGCATTATTATTTATCATAAACTTATTATGTGTCAATGTTGATATGACAGCTAAAAGTACAAATGCCAGCAGAGGCTGCTACACTAAACATATAATTGCAAAATCAGAGGAAGTAATAATTCCACCCAACTTTGTATAGGTCAGACCCAACCTTGAGTTTAAGTGCAGTTCTTGGCACTTTTTTCAGGATTCAGATAAATTGAAATATGTTCAGAGCAGGGCAATAAGGGTGTCTAAGGAATTAGAAACTGAAAATAATTTCAGGGGTCTGGGAATGAGAAGATGCAACGATATAACAGCACACTTTAATTAGCTGAAAAAAACACCAATAGAATTACACTGAACTATAGAAATCAAAGATCAAGCAATTTTTTAGAAGATTTTTTATTGTGCCTTTATTGTCATTATAGGCAACGAACATATCTATCATGTTTCCCCGAAAATAAGACCTGGTCTTATAATTTTTTTGCCTCCAAAAGAGGCATTAGGCCTTATTTTGGGGGGATGTCTTATTTTTTTCCTGACACCTATCTTGCTTCGTGGCAGCAGTACTAACACCCCTTTCCAGGAGCTGATTGGCTGCTGCCCCACTTCTTCTGCATCATGCAGTGCTGCTGTCATGAGGTGAGGCAGGTGGGGGGGAGCTGCCCCACGTGCCCCGCAACTGCTTATCATGCCAAAGGATCCCTCAGCCAGGCCTACCATGCCGCCATTACCTGTCACACCTAGCCTGTTTGGTAGTGGCTTCTCTCATTTTCTCCTTCTTCCTCTTCCTTTAAACAGCCCTTTGCTCCTGTTGCTGTTTTTTCAGACCCAGATCTTAGTTTGTCCAGAGCCTGAGCAGAGGGTCTTTGGAAACAAGGCCCCGCAGTGATCGGGTGGGGTGGGAATCATTCCCTTTGCTTTTGGACAGGCTCCAAACTTTGCTGGAAAGAGCAGCCCGAGGGTTCCAATCTGGCTTTGCAGCAAACAAAGAGATTGGAGGCATGTGAATGCATGTTAGCCTGGCATCTCAAAAAAACGGGTTTTTTTCCCCACTGCGGATTTTCGCTGTTTAACTTTTTTTAAAGTTTACATGATGCAGAACAGGAAGGATCCACATTCTGCATCAAGTAAACTTTAAAGAAAATTATACAGTATGGCAGCAAAAATCCAGCCAGAGGGGGGGAAAAATCCATTTTTTTGAGCATGCATTCATGTGCCTCCAATCCCCTTGCTTGCTGCAAAGCCAGATTGGAGCAACCGAGATCCGGGACTGAAAAAGCAGCTATAGGAGCAAAGGACTGTTCAAAGCAGGAGGAAGAAGGAAAAAGTGGGAGAAGCCACTACCGAACAGGTGAGGTTTGACAGGTGAGGTTTAACAGGGGCATGGTAGGCCTGGCTGCGGGGCCCTTCCGCATGGTAAGTGGTTGCAGGGTACATAGGGCAGCTCCCCCCTCCCTGTGTCTAGCAACCAGATGGTGTGATGGAATGGGTAGCCCGCCGGCTGCACAGGCTCTTAAGTAGGGCTTATTTTTGGAGTAGTGCTTATATTATGCCCAACCCCCAAAATCAAGCTAGATCTTATTTTCAGGGAAAGTTTTATTTTCGGAGAAACATAGTAATACTCCTTTCTCCTCCAATTGTCCCCACAACACTACGAGGTGTGTTGGGCTAAGAGAGAGTGACCAGCCCAAAGTCACCCAGCTGGCTTTCATGCCTAAGATATAGACTAGAAATCACACTCTTGGTTTCTAGCCTGGTGCCTTAAGCACTAGAGCCAAACTAGCCTCAGTTCACACCTCTCATCTTCTCAAAATGCAGGATATGAAATAATGGATTTTTGTTAGAGAAAAACAAGTTCCACTTGGATGCTAGAAAAATTGTTTAAGGGTTATAAAAGTTGAATGCATTTGAAGGGCCCTGAAATTCTCTTTATTTTTCTTGGCAAAACTGCAATCAATAGGGATATGTTCAGATATCTTCCAAACACTAGAGATAGTAGTTTTCGTAGCCCAAACAATAGAAAAAGAAAAACAAGATTAGCAACAGTGTTTTCTTTTTGTAAATAATATTGACAATATGCAAATGTGCATGCAAATCAAAATTCCACTAGTGTATATTACATGGGTGTTTGCTTGTTTTTGGTAGAGGTTAGACATGTTATTGTGTAAAGGATAGATATTTACATTAAATAATACTATCTAGTAAACTAGATACAAATAATTTGTACTGTCTACTTTATTAATATTTTTTTAAAACATTCAACAGCTAAACTTTGTTCGATTTTACCTCCCTCTACTTATCCATGAACATGAAAAAGTGATTTATTTTGATGATGACGTGATTGTACAAGGTAAGCTATGAAAAAAAAATCCTGCTTATTTCCTAATACATCATTTCCAAAATATTTATGTCATTGTTACAACTTTGCTCTGTCTTATACATCTGAATGTTTGAAAGTAGTGGCAAGGGTCTTATAATGAAATTGTTAGAGACTTTTTAAGTTTTATATCAGAATATGTAAAGGCAATTGATAATACCGGTATTTCTTGAGAGAGGAAATAACTTTGTTTTTTCTTAGGAGACATCCAAGATCTATATGATACAAAGTTAATCCGAGGACATGCTGCAGCTTTTTCAGATGACTGTGATCTACCTTCAACTCATGAAATGGTTAGAAGTGTAGGAATGCAGGTAAAAAAAAAACATTTCTAAAATATATTAATTGGCGATGGTAGTAAGGGGAAGATTATATTTTTCCTTAAAAAAAAAAGCTTAGCCCTAGGTTAATCTTAGAGGTTTAGTAGAACTGGATTATATTTGTATGAGAGACTTCCAGGAATACAAAGCTGTAGGTTATATTGAGATACTGAAAAAATAATAAAACAATCTTGGAAGAACTTCTGTAGTGATGCTCAGAAATCTACATAGATTGTTCAAGAGTCAAACATGAATGTATTTTTAGTGCAGGAATGTGTAGCAGTGTAACTGTTTTGTTTTGTGTTTCACTAATACTATAATAAGGAAAGGAAGTTGAGACAGAAAAGACTTAAAATTAAGTCTTTAAAAGGCTTAAAATTTTGATGTATGCTGCTTGCCTTTAAAGGTTTATAAATGTAACATCTCCCCTCAATTTAAAACAGACTAGGGTCTTCATTACAATTGAAAGAACTGAAGGGCGTTAGGGACAAATCATCATGGAGAATATCTATCTACCGATATGTGATCATTAAGAGCTGACATAGACTTGATAACACATCATAAATAAATCAGACTTTTCAAACCATCACATTTAATAGGATCATTTCAATCAGGTAGCATATCCTATGTACTATTAAAGGTATTAAATATAAAAATCTCTTTCCTGTGGATGATCAATAACTGTCTCCATGGATGTGGCCTCTATTTCTCTGAGAGAAATTCTGGGAGACAGGTAGAGTGCAAGCATAATTAACTACGTGCTATCATATCCCTGCTCTATCTGCTCTTCTGACTACTAAATAGAAACCATTGGATCTGGGCCCAAACAAGCCTCCCAAAGTTGCCAGGAAATTTTAATATACTTGTTATTGAAAATACATGGAAGTAATATAAACTGCGTAATACTTAAACATAATCTGATTAAATCTAAATTGATTTTTGTCCTGGCCACATTTTTTTAATCATTAGCCCATATTTGAGGTGGTGTCTCAAGTAGTAAAAGGCATCTGATCTCTGTCCTCATAGCCCCTACCAATTGTGCACACATAGTTTTGAGATTTCATATATTCCTTTCTTCCCTAGAACACTTATATGGGCTTCCTGGACTATCGAAAGCAAACAATCCGAGATCTGGGTATAAGTCCCAGCACCTGCACATTTAATCCTGGTGTGATTGTAGCCAATATGACAGAGTGGAAGCACCAACACATCACAAAGCAGTTAGAAAAATGGATGCAGAAAAATGTAGCGTATGTATCAAGAGTCCTCTAATAGCAGGAACTGATTGCGCATTGAGTTTATTTGATAATATACAGCTGATGATTGTAAAAATGCATGCCATATTTATTTTGTCCTGCTCTACGAACAATCAGACTCTCACCACAAAGACTAATGTTATTATCAATACTGTCTGGAATGTCTTTAATTTGCACTAGCTCAAAAGTCATTCTTACTACAGCATTATATTTGTGTTTGAACTAAGTACATAATCAATATTGCACATTGATTATGAAAAACATGAAACTGAAAAGTATTATTTTGCATACAAGTAGATTTTAGATAATTATTAGTAGTTTTAATTATATTATTATTATTGTTTTTAATTTGTTAATATTTGCTTTGAAAAGGAGTTAGAGTGTGTTATGGTTTTGATTGATAGTATAGTTGGTTAATGTTAGTTAGATTATGTTTGTTTATTCGTTACCCTGTAATCAGCTCTGGGAAGTGGGGGAAGGGGTGGGATTGGGTGGGAGGGGTTTATATTATAATTTGTAAAACTTTTAATAAAAAAAATATTGCACATTTTTGAAGGATGTAATTGTATTTAGTTTAGCAAACCAATAGTTTGATAAGTTTCTGATGATGCTCAGATTAAAAACAAAAAAGTCAGTTTTAAGTTAATGAAGTTGAGCATACCTAAACTGAAAGTGTGGGGGTGCATGATTAGCCCAGTCACCTACTGTACTGAGCTTCAAATTGTGTTCTACTTCGCTACTGTTCTAGTTGAATTGTATTTTGCTTTATTGACTGCATCTCCACTTAGTAAAATAGCTGTTTTAAAAATAAATCTTCCACCCATTTGACATTCTAAAAAACTTTTTCAGAGAAAATCTCTATAGCAGCACCCTTGCAGGAGGTGTGGCCACTTCTCCAATGCTCATTGTTTTCCATGGAAGATATACAACTATTAATCCTTTGTGGCATATTCGACATTTAGGTAAAATTTGCTTCTGATAAAGCATGTTTTTATCTTGTTTTCTTTGATTATACTAAGCTATTTTTTTTTAAAAAAAGTTTGCATTGTGGTATAGTTTAGTTTAACAATTAAAATGCAAGATATCTTCAACTGAATGTTTATGATCATGTATATTCTGTTTGTTGCTGCACTTTACACATATAATATTCAGCACAGTATTCTCTTCTGCAACTAGTAAATTGTGCCACTTTGATAAAAGTACAGAATATTATGTACTTTAGTATTGACACATTAGTTGTTACAAGACAACAGTGGAATAATGTTATTAGATATGTTGAATATAGGTAGTCCTTGAGATATGACAGATCATTTAATGAACATTTAAAGTTACAACAGATGTCCCCAAATTGCTTATGTCCTGTTTAAAGATTACAATGGTCATTCAACTTTATGACTGACCACAGGAATGCTGCAGCGCCCCCCACCTCTCTCCCATCCCATCTTGCTCCTCACATGTCCATCACCCACCGTACTTATCTTTTGAAGCTCTCCGGACCTCATGTTGGGGAAGGAGGGCAAGCCTTGTGTTTCTGGACCATATGGTGGCAACCTGAATATGGCCATTTTGTCCTGCCTGCTTGTGGGTGGGGACAAAATGGTGACTGTCAGACAAACCACTTTGTTTTGCTGCCTTAACGAGGTCTCCAGTGTTGCAGAAGCTTCTGGATGCTGTAGAATGCTTCTGCAGGGCTAATGAGACCTCGTTAAGGCAGCAAAGCAGTTTGTCCCTGTGTCATGTGGTAGTCACACAGAAGTGGGTAACATGTTTCGGGTGGAATATAATGGCAGCTGCTTCTGGGCCATCGCCTTGAATCCTGGGAATAAAGTGGTCCATTTTGCTACCTTAATGAAGTCTGCACAGCACTGCAGAAGCTTCTGAAAGCTATAGAAAGCTTCTGCAGCACTATACAAACCACATTAAGGCAACAAAATAGATTGCTTTATCACAGGGCTACATGGCACTATTCCAGAAGCGGCATCAATACCAAAATGCAATTCAGCCAGTCGAAATAACGCTATGGAATAATGCCACGTGGCTGCATAATGAAGCAATCCATTACAGCCCTCTGGAAAGCCTAAGGGGACCTGGTAGGGGTGGGAAAAGACCTATGGGATGGGGGAAGCAGAGCACAGGACTTCTCGGAGGGTGGGGAGTCCTTGGGAGGGCCAGGGCAGGTGGGCCTGTCCCTGTGCTAGGCCTCCAAAGTCTTTCCCCACCTCTGAGGCACTCCATGCTCCACTTACCTCATGCACATTTGTTTAATGATTCATTGGAGAGAGATGGGATGGGTCATTAGTTGAGCTACTTAATTTAATGACCTTTACAATATACAATTGTTATTCCACTTATTGGCTCTGGCTCTGCAGGCTCCATGAGTCATATCTCTATGGCTGTAAGCTTCTGAGATGTGTTTGGCTGGAATTGTAAAACTCCTAGCATCATTTGAAAAGGACTGGTGGATTTTATGTTTGTATGTATGCATATATGTATTTATGTATTTAACAGATTTATATGGCTGCCCAGCTCACATATTGTGTGAATACAAGTGGATTCCCTCCACGTATTTACTCCTATGTCTACAGATCCCAAAGTACACTGAATTCAACATAACTTAGATCAGGGTAAACAAGTTTAGTTTGGCACTGAACACATTTAAATTTAACTAAATGCCATCCACATGCAATTTATTGTTAAGCAAGAGAAAAGTTTGCTAAAAATTAATGTTATTTTTCTTTCCCCCCCCCCCCAATAGGATGGAGTCCTGATGCTAGATACTCAGAGCATTTTCTTCAGGAGGCCAAGTTACTTCACTGGAATGGGAGATATAAGCCTTGGGGCTACCCTAGTGGACACACTGACTTTTGGGAAAAATGGTTTCTTCCTGACCCTTCAGGAACTTTTAAACTGGTTCGTCCTAAGACCTAATTATGCCATTTATCTTTAAGACATCAGAAACAGTTTTCATCATGATCATGGTTATATATATATTTGAGATGGTATTTAGTGAACATGGCTCTACTGTATAACTGAATCTTATGATGTATAAGCATCAAAATAAAATTTTACCACAAGGACAATGAGGCCACAAAGTATGCACACTATCACTCTTTCTAGCAGGAGCTGAAACTGAAACATTGTTAAGGAAAACAATCTTTAATAACACCAAGGTCTCTATTTAAATAATTCTGTAAATAAGGACTTACCAAAATACTTTTTGTAATACTGTTTGAATAAATTTGTTTTTGTCTTAAGTGCATCTTCTATATATAAAATTAAGCCAAATAAAATTAAGCATCCATTATTTTATTTCAAATAATTTAAAACTGCTTTGTTGTAACAACACCAATACAATTAATTATTGACTTTTAAACAATGTTACATAAAGCACCAGAAAATATTATAACAATTTTTTTTCAAAAAAAAAAAAAAAAAAAAAAAAGGCAGATCAGACATACTAAATACATTTTAAAGCACCATATTGTAGAACGGATGTGCATTCATATCTCATTAATCTGGATGTTTCTTTCAAAACAAGTTATCTCCTTTTCACATCATAATAGTGAGCTATGCATGATCTGCAGCAAGATAATTCTCTGCTTAAAAAAATGTTCCAGATCCCTGATGCAAAGGCATTTCAAGCACTTGCAAAAAAGTATCCATGTAAACAGTGACACATAAGTGTGCAATCTTAAGCACACTTACTAGGAAGTAAACCTTGTTGAATATTGTGGAGCTCAATTTGAATAAACATGCATAAGATTGTGCTACAAATGAATTTACTAGACTATTGACATGGAATTTCCACAGAGACTAACTAACATGATCAGAACTAGATACACATCATAATATTAAAAAGAATAGGCTTGGAGGATTAATGTACATTATTTTGTGGCAGGTCATAAATATGCTCATCTTTTAATGAGCAAAAAATCAAAACACTCTGGAAAGGTTCCAAAGTGACTATGGTTTGATTTTAAATTGATCCATACAACCCTACTTCCTAATGCCAATATAATAAAACATTTTAAACATTCCAGCTATTTTTGAAGTAGTTAGATAATCTAAATTATATACACATTGAAATAGAATTCTGGTACATAATTCAAGTATCTAAAGCACTTAATCAATAGATTTTGAAAAAAACTGTTTACTTTTTTTATTGCTTTTATCTCCACCCCTCAAGGAGAAAGCAGGCTGGAGGAGAAAAGAAGGCATAGATACTGGTAGCACAAACATTCTCAGAAGGAACTATGTTTTTAGAAAGACAATGGTCACAATCTATTGCATTGCAAATTTAGCACAGCATGGAGAATATTCTAACAGAGTGTATATCCTCCACAAGTGAACAGTGAAGTGTCACAGAAAAAATAGTGCAACTCCTGTTCTCACATCTATCTTTCCTTCTCCAAGCCTAACTTAGAAAGATAAATACAAAAGTAGTTATATTGACTGCATAGAAAAGCATTGTTTTACTCAAAATGAACCATTTGTTGATACCAGCAATGCCAACTGAACTTGTTGCAACATATGCCTACAGAGAGCACCATATCCAGTAGTAACTCACAGCTAAAATAATTTGGGAATAAATTAAAAGCAGAGTGGTAGGAGGAGAGAAAAGAGAAACTGCAACTGAAATAATGGTAAACAAATAAAACATATAGAATTAGGTCCCTGAAAAATATTTTTCAATTTAAGGGTAAATGTGGCTCAACCCCCACTTTTCAAAAGGCAGTTTTCACATTCAACCACAAGTGACAAAACCCAGGGGCAATTAGGAATCTAGTCACTTTTGGGGAAAGAGAGATAAACTAACCTGGAGTTCTGTCTGAGTTACTTCTGTTAATGGGTTTCTACTATTTTGTTAAAATGTTACTGTTTGGTAACAGTGTTAAATTTCCGCCCTTTAATTCATATATATGAGCATACATAGGGTATATCCCAACACCCAGGAAAGGATATCTTAAAAATGTAACTTCACAGAGTATCTTACAAAATATGGATTTAAAACAAGACATTGGACATCACAAATGAGAAATCACTTGGCTAAAACTGCAAAAATGGAATAATTTTAGCTATAAAACCTGATACAAAAAAAAAAGGACGGGAGAGAATTTTTTTCTCTAACAAAGGATATTTCTTTAAATTAATCTAATTCATCTAACAAAATGACTTATCCTAAGAAAAACTAAGAGGCACAATGCTATTAAAATGCTTCAGTTGGGGAACTGAGGTACCGTTCTTGATCATGACTATAGAATATAGAGTCGATTCTAAGTACTGACTCTTCCTTCTTCTTGTGCTCTTGAGAGGCTAAATTCAGGAATCTGATCTGCGAAAGTTTGTGTCATCCATTGTCCATTAGGTACATCGCCAACAGAAGAACCACTGCTGTACTCCATGTTGGTTGCTGCATAAAAAGAAACCTACATCAATTGCTGCTATTAAAACTAAGGGAGGAAAAAGGAGCACCAAAATACATGCAACTACATGCAAAATACATGATGAATATAGAAGCACATATTTTATAACGTTTATGCTGTTCATGTGTTTATAGTGAATTCAAAATGCATTTTTATGTTTAGGAATATTTTTTAAAAATTAAACAAATCTTCTGGCTTTCTGGGACAAAATTTCAGGCCTAAAAACTATGCTGGAATTCCTTTTCTGAGATTGGAAAGAAAGCTCCAATTTCAGAAAAGAAAATCCAAGATTCCTGCTTCTTTGAGGATATTTTTGCAGTCTTTCTCATTCCCACATTGTAGAAAAGAAACAGGACTAGAAGTGATGTTTCTAGTCCAAATCTCTTGTACTTGCTTTCTATATTTTCAACACAAGAGAACTTTGAATTGCCCTTTGTACTAAATTAATACCCTCCCATTGCATACAATGCAAAAGATGAATATTGCTTAAACTGACAAATGGAATTATTTTTGCTTTCTTTTATTCCATCCGTTCAATGTACTGGCAGAAAGATTATGAGGTAATTGGGGTCATGAAGCTCAAAGTATTCAAATTATTGCAGCTGACCAGCTTGCCCCAAAACAATTTTATTAACTTCTCAGGGAAAAAAGATTAAAATAAAGATTTAATTTGAGTTTTTCCATGCTGTACCTGTTCCATTTGTGGGGAAGATACACTGTTCATTCTCAGAGGTTGTTCTCTCACCATAAGCTCCTCCATAGGCTGCTTCATAACCTGGATCATATTTTTCTTCCTTAACAGCCATCTTCTTAGCTTCCTCTGCATAAACAAGATTCACAATGTTGAAATTGTTCTTTTTGAACTCTTAAACATAAAACCATTTGTCAAAATTATCCTATTTCAGAATAAAACCAAATTATAGCTTGAAAGCTTGTAAATATCCTGTTCTATTGATAAGAATTGCCTTGCAGAAGAAATCACAATGGAGTTTACATTGCTGTGTAATTATTAAATCTGAAATGTGTAAGAACTGTAAACCATTAGCTCATAACATGAAATAACTGTCTAGGCCTACTTTGATTTACTTTTGAAAATTTGACATATTAATAATCCATTACTACTACTTTGATTCAAATGGAATACCTTGTGCAAGCTGCAAATCAAATGTATACTGCACTTCCTGGACTTCAGCAGCTGATGTGACCCCCTTCAATTGATCCCTTAAGTCTTTTAGCTTTATGTAATAATGAACTTTGTCCTGTGCACGAGGAAACTGAGCACATCTTGCACTGGATGATGGCATCACGTAGCAAAGCTGTACAAAAAAAGCAATGAATTATGTCATCAAACTGGTATTATTTTCAAATACTAAAATTGTTACAAAGTGATCTGATCTTTATCACATTTGCTGAAAGTTTAAACCAGGGGTGTCAAACTCGTCACATCGCATGACGTGTCGTGACGTATTGCAACTTTTTTTCCATTGCCGGCAATGGGGTGGGTGCGATTTCGCCATTACGCATCCGGTCCGCAGGCCAGCAGTTTGACACCCCTGGCTTAAACTCTTAAGAAAACAGCAATAATTTTAAATGAAGACTCGTATCCTAAACATTAAGATGTTTGCTTTACATATTGAAATAAATATTATTTTATTGAAATAATATATTGAATAATATATTGAAATAATATACTAAAATATTATTTCAATAAAAAAGTCCTTGAATAAATGTAAAAAAATTATATTCCTAAGCAAGACAAGAACTTACTGTTTCTGTATCTGGAACTTTATGTGGCTGTAGTCCAAACTCTAATTTTTTAACCTTCACTCCAAAAACTTCTTTACTAAAAATGTCATAAATACCTACAGTAAAAATTGGAAATAGATCCATCAGTTATAATGCAAGCTTAACCACAACAAAATGCCTAGGTCTCATTTTTGAAAAACTTACATTTTCCATTAAAAACAGCTATTTTAGGTTGATACTTCTGCAATTTCTGCACTAGAATACGTCCTCCTTCCCGAAATTCTTTGCTGAAAAGAGGACAAAATAGCACAAATAAAAAATAAGACTATAATTTTCTGAAAAATACTGTATGATAACTTGAAATGAACTCTACCTGGAAAGGTCTTTGCTACCTGGTGTTGTCCTTTCCACCATATTTGTAAATCCAATACCATATTTATGTGGCAAAGTATGATCATCCATATGATTCAATTGTTCTAGGCTTAGCCCAGACATAAAAAGACATTTCCCTATGGAGTCAAAAAATGTATTTATCATATTTTCTGGAAAGTACATATCAAAACTCTATAATTTATTTTTAAATTATATTTATTCAATTATATTTATTTTTACTTTCAAAAGTAGCAAAGCAACTATAATCATATGCAAAATGAAGCTAGTCAAGATAATATAGCATAATCTTTATTATTATTTAAAGAAAATAATGAAGTCTCTCTTGAATCAAGCTCAACCGATGGTGTCTACATAGTTATATCTAAACAGGTTTCTTATCAACCTGATGGTAGGTTTTTGCGCTCTTCAAGATTTCTTTTCATTTCTTTGTCCAATCTACTGGTTCCCAGTCCAGGTATCAATAAATCCACCTTTGTTTTTGTATGTTTCACATAATTTGCTTTGAATTTAATCTAGGACCTATTACTTTCTGTTACTACAACCAGAAAATTCTAGATTATAACCAAATTTCCAGAGTTCACGAAAAAGGATACTCACAGAAATGATTTCCAGGTCCTGGATAATGATGACCTTTGTAGGCTGCCATTAAACCTGGATTTATACCAATCTAGGGAAGAATACATAAATGAAATCTTAATGTTCATGATAAAAGATGTATTAGATGTAATGAAAAGAACAAAAACAATACAAGTAAATTACTTGGATAAACTGGGCACCTGTCACTCCTGACTATCCAATAAATTGGTCTGTTCATGGTGATTTATATAATTTGCATAATAACATCATTAAGCAAATAATGCAAATTGTCAGTACAGAAATA